CAACCTGCACCCATCATGAGAATGGGACTAAAAGCAAGTGCAAACAGCCCCAGCAAAGGAGGGATCTGCTACAACCATGGGAGATACCAACAATCCACTGGATCAAAGCAGGTTTCCTCCAAATGTTCCCTAATCACTGAATGCCTTAGTAAATCCACAGAAACAAAACCAGTTACCTGGGGATTGCTTACAGGACTCTACAGTAGAAGGGGGGAGCCACCCCTGACAGAGAAGCTTTTTAATAAGCATATACATTTGCTACCTCACCCACCACCAATCACACAGGAACAACAGTCAGAAGACAGGACCAAATACCAGAGAAATAGGTCAAGGTAGGTAGCTCCCTTTTTCTATCATCCTGTCCTGCACAGCAATTTTTACTGCACTTCTAAGGGCTGGGTCAGGGAAAGAGAATGATCAATCATCCTCTACAGCTGGCAGCAGCTCACAGGGCTGACCAGCTGCATCAATAGCGAGTGAGGATTTTTCAGCAGGCCAGGGGTATCTGGAGCATTTCTCACTTTCATAATGGGGCCCAGGTAAGTGTTACTTTCTGGGATGTAGCATCAGGGTGCTTGCCACTGGAAGAAGGACTAGGTGCCCAAGTTCCTCTTTCCAGGTGGATGCGGAGGGGATCCTTGTAGGACAGCAGCTGGCATACTTATTGATTTTTTTCCTAGAAGAGATACCTGGAAAGTAGGAAACCCCCTCCCCACAACACACACACAAAGGAAGTGAAGTAGGTAAGTAGTATTATCCCTATTTTACATATGGGGAAATGGAGTCACAGGAACAAAGTGATTTTTCCTCAAGGTCACATAGGGAGTTGGTAAAGAAGTCCTGGTTGTTAGTCCCATGGGGGCCCTTCTGTAAAGGTGACTGACAGAGCAAGAATATCACTTCCACTTTAAAAACATCCTGAATGTGGAAAAATCCTTTGATTTTTACAGTATCAATATCTTACAGGCACAGTTGTGGCATAGACCTTTAAGAGCTTGTTTTGTGCAGGTTACTAGGGTACAGCTCTCGAGCTGAGATCAGAATTAGTGCTGCTGTACACCTTTGGGTCAATAAAGCCATTGGTAGTCTCTTCCTCGAACTCGGAGTTAACGTGCACTTCCCAACTGCCAAATCTTCCTCATCAGAATGTACACTTCAGCAATCATTTTTCAGAGGCAATTGTGGTAGAAACCTGTACAACCACATATGTAACAGCCAGTAGCTGCTATTGCTCAGCTTACACAGAGAATGAAGAACTTCTCCCCTTCCTCTTGTATGAGAAATCCCCTCATTTCAAATCCTCCATCACTTTGAATCAATAAATCAAATACATTCAGTATGACTTACCCACTAAGCAAGTCCATAGGGTTTGATGGGGTGTAACTCAAAGTTGCTTCAACAAGATTGCAGTTTTCAAATCAGTATATTCCAGTAGTCTGGCTCTACACTCCTTTCTAGGTAACTAAACTTCATATATGCCTTTAGAACGCTTATTGTCAGGCTATGAAGCCAACAAGGATACAGGCTATTGCTTAATTAAAACACACATTTTGTGTATTAATTCTGATTTCCCAATCAACAATTAAGCAAAATCAGCTGCTGTCTACCCAATTAACCTGCTTGTATGAGCACAATAAAGCCATAGACCATGTAAGAGTTGAGTAATAGATCAGGAGGATTATTGGCATCTTTTGCAGCTGCTTACTTATTAGTCCTATTCTGTATACCAGCTGGGAACTGGTTCCTTTCAGTACTGAGTAGCCTGTACTGTGGTTATTGGATTCCCACCTTTTGCCAGGCTTCTTAAAAATATTTATAAGTAGGCATAGTACCAAAGCTGTAAACAGTTGGGAATGTTACTAGATAAAATTCCAAAGAGAAAAGGGGAAGAGACAGAGCTACATTACAAAGTCTGGCCAAAAAAGTTAACCAGAAGTTTGATTACACAGACGTAGAGAAACAAGAGAGGATTTACCCTCCAGATCCAATTTTCTCTCTATAGAGTGGAAACCTATTCCAGAGGATCTGTTTGACTAAAAACATGAGGGAGTAGCCAAACTTCACACTGTGGGAGATTTGCTGGTGACACAATAATTTTAGAATCCAGATAATTTATTAGGAAAGGCAAAGGCAAAGGCCACCAGAAGAATATGCCTTCTAAAGCATGGTTTACTCACTACTGTCATTTCACTCTCTGTTGGGAAGTAACAAAGCCCACTTGCTCAAAGGCACAGTCCTGCAGATTTTTACTGGTGCTAGTTAACTGAAGTCAGGGGATTATCCAGTGTGAACAAGGGTTTGTAAGATCAAGCCTCAACAGTTTCAAGCAACACTGAGGCCCCTTATCTGGATATGTATTATTTTTTCATCAAACCAAAGTGTGTGTGAACACACACAGAAGCCTGCCAGCTGTTTCCAGCTGGTTGAAGCCTATGCTTTGGCAATGCCTTCCTACAGCACAGGTGATTCATGAGCAACAATTCCCTATGCAAGTGGCTGATGACCCTCACACAGCTTTCAGGGCCCCATCCCCTAAGTGCATGCAAGAGCATAGAAGAGACAGGTTACCACTAGTGCTGTTTTACCAGGTTTCTGAGATGCATACAGCTTCTCCAAGCTGCTTAAGAGTGGAAAGAGGATTGGTCAGTAGCTGGAACCTCTACAGCTTTTATTGTTTTGGAAAATGGTGGTATTACAGGTGGCCAGGGAGGATACTAAAGAAAGGAAAGTACAATTGCAGTTCATTTGCCAGAAGAGGCTAGTCACTAAATGTTCTTCTAGTCTAGGAGACAAGCAGCTAGGCTCCCAGCAAAGAATCCTGAGCCCAGCCACCAAAAGCTAAGAATAGCAAGTTTGTTTTTTTGCTATCATGTATTGATCTTAACTGGCTCCAACACCTGCTACTTATTATGCACAAAACATAGCATGGTTAAATTATTCTGTATCCTAAGGTTGACTGTCTCCCTTGCAAGCAAGTCTGGATTAATTTGAACTATCCTTGTTGCTAGCTGCTTTGTTTGGGAGGCATATTTGTAAAAATTAAATACCAAGAGTAGTTGACATCCAAGAGAGACAAGCGTCACCAACAGCATGTTGTGTCTTTCTGCTTCCTAAGGCAGTTCTGAAATGTTTCCAGAATGAACATTGTGGGTGGGATTTTCCAAGAGCATTCAGCTCTAGCCTAACACTGCTCCCATCAATGTCAACTGTAGGATATTCACAGACTTGGATGAGAACAGAGATGTCAACCTGGAGCACCTTTGAAAATCCATGTGTCTGACCATCTCTTGCTGGAGGGGAGAAATCACCCTGTTTCTCATCCACAGAAAGGCTCCGCTTCCTACAAAACAAACAGTAAGGCAAAGTACCGCTCTAATTTTTGCTGTCCAGCCTTGTGCTAAGAAGACTATAGCAGATACTGTGGACTAAAAGGGGTCATGTTGTTTCACAGCTGTATTTAACAAGAGGGCAAAAGACAGTCACTATGAAGCATCCCACTGCTAGAGTGGTCAAGCAATTGAAGGAATTCACATTACAAATAAAACTGCAGTGTTTTATCTAGTAACTGCTTCTTAGTCATTTTTATTTACTTTTGTCACAAAAGTAGCAGGGAGGGTGAAGTATTAAAAATCTACATGGGTGTGTTTAGGACCACCTGGTTATACCATAAGAATTAAATAACTTGACTCTGAATAACTTTTAGCAACATACCATGGCTAGCATGGTTAATGGACATTCACACTGAAACAAAAAGATTTTAAATTCCAAAATGAATATGGTCACTTGTTATTTTGGCTATTTGTCAGCAGCAAGGTGCTGTAAGAAACCTGTCTCTTGGATCATGAGGGTTGCATTATGTTCTGCCTTTTGAGTAAGCTTACAAGGAAGCTGCTGTTGTGCAGACCACCACTCAGGTTCATATGCCTGTATTTCGGATAGCAGCTCAAATTTAAGTAGCCACAGGAGATTATGGGAAGTGATTAGCATTGCAAGAAGTGTTAGATTAGTATTAAAGCCACAACTGTCATACATGTGCCATGTCTCCAAGACCCAAATTCACATGAGTGCAGCATGTGTTTGTACTCAGATAAGGGGTTGTAAGCTTGAAGTTTTCTACTTCTAGCTTGGTTTCTGCAAGTTTTCTTTTAAGCTGTATTTGGTGTGTAGGGCTCATTAAATTAAGAGTTAATTGGTCTTGCTTTCCCCTCACACTGCCCCTCCACCCTTTGAGTCTTGATTGGGATCATCAACTCATTTTTATAAGCTGTAAAGAAGAAATAGGGGTTGTAAGAGCCACCTGTGCAGTCTTGTGTAGCATCTATAGTTAACAAGATGCACACAGTGGCTGAGGGGGATTTTAAAATTTCCATAACAGACTTTCAAGGCTTGTTTGTCAAGATTGTTTTCTGTTCTCTTTATTCAATTTGAAGCAAATACAATTACTGTATGTATAATTGTTTGGAGGATCCTGAAAGACAGATACGGGAAATCTGAGGGGTTCTCAGTAAGTGGTGCTAAGCTCCAGCAGCTTGATAGGAAATTGAATGCAAATATACCAAACATCTAAGTGTTCCTGAAGTCTAAAAAACATCAATGCCATATCAGGAAAGAAGTTTCCTCCTCTTTGGAGTAGCTGTTTGTCTGATATATCCATAGCTCATGGAGAATCTGGACAAGTAAATACAGAAGAGCCACCATAGTACTCTTGTCAGCCTTACTTATCTGTTTAGCACAATAGCAGCAACAATGAATCCCTAGGGGTTACAGTGGCCATTATGACCAGGTCTTTGTCACAGAACATATCATACTATACAATCTGAGCAGTGTTGCAACATTGGGTTGTTTGATTTCTGCAAGGTGTTTCCCCTAATCTTAAACCCCTGAGTTTACAGTAACACCAGTCTCAAAAGAAGGACAAATTGAAGTTAGATACTCTGAAACTGAGTGAACTAACTGGTAAAGTTAGGATGATCAGGCTTGCACTTAACAGAGTGAAGAGGTTCTATTGTCCACTGTCTTTTATTTTCTTATTTTAGTACATGTGATCAACTGAGGAATTAGTGAGGGACATACCAGCTGCACTTTACAGTTTGACAACCACAAAAATAGAAAGCAACTATACAACTTCTGTTTCACAAAACTAGCTTCCATTTGTAACACATTTGACAGAACAGGATTAGCTGCAACAAGTTACGGGGCTCCAAGTGTAAAGTGCTATTTTGGTTAAAGTAGCTAAAAAGCAATTACTACAACATTGATCTGGGTGTTTGGTAGTTAGACTGGTGGTATCTTCTGAATCTTTCAAGTCAAGCTTTATGCTTCTTGATGAAGCTAATGAGCCCATTTGTTGAGCCATCATGAGATGTCACTGGAGCATCAGAATCTAGTTCTGGTTCAATTTTCTTAGCCAATTGCTTTCCAAGTTCAACTCTGCATTTTATGGAGAGGGAGAAAAAAAATTAAGTTAGTACAAACTCATTTAGGCCCAGGCCCAGACCCAGACATTTAGGTACAAACCCCAGATTAGATGCTACTGTGATCCATGAAACTTTGCTTAGCTGTGCCTAAACTCACTCAACACCTAAAATTTCAGGGGAAAAGTTCCCTAGGTGCCTAAAGTTTTGGCCTCTGGGCATACACACTGCTGCCTTGTTTTAGGTGCCCAGAGCCCTACCTCATGCCTAAGCAAGGGAAGAGAGGCATTCCCCTGCATATCTTACCAGCCATGGGCTACTGGATAGATCCCCATTCAAATCTAGCCAGAGGAGGTAGTGATGCTCTCTCCCTTAACTTTTAGCCCCATGGATATTAGAGACCTGGTCTCAGTTTCCCCTACCTGATGGGGAGAAAAGATTTGAACAGGGGCCTCAGGATATTCTGAAAAGGGGGTCCCTCATTCTCTCCTGTTGAAGCAGTTCCACTTTGGATAAATTAGAGTCATGAGAGCAGCATAGGACAGGAATCTGGTCTCCCACCTCCCAGATGGGTGCCCTAACCACTGGACTATAGAGGAGGAGTTGTTCCTCACCCTGGTAGCACCGCCTCCTTTCCAGACCTCACAGGTTAGCCTCACAGGAGTTATGCTATTCTAGACAGCATTACAGTCTGCAGAGACCCCTGTTCAGCTTCTACTTCGGTGTTTTGGAAGAATAATGGTAGCACAGCTCTGTAGGAGAGGTGCAGAAAGTAGAATCTCTAGATCAGTGCACAGGAGCAGAGTCTTGGATCTCTGGAGTGGAGAACAGAGTCCCTTGTAGAGTCCTGGGCTTTATAGGGCCTCATCCTCTTCCACTACCCTCTCAAAAGGAAGGCACAAGTTTCATCTGAATCTTATGCACATCCCAGCCCCTCTACTTCCTCCTGGGAGTTTCTACATGGGAGAGTAAGCTATGAGCCATATAGTCAGTGGTAACAGTGACAAGGAATAGCACTGACTGGCTCCTAAGAAAGGCTAGTCTTCATCTGAAAGGAAGAAAAGTGGGGAACTCCTCAAAGGGCTGCTGTCCTTCAGCAACATATACATGACCCAGGAGGCAAAGAAAAGGTTTATTTAGTGACTTGGTAAGTCAACCAAGTGCTGTCCATGACTGCTAAGTCAAGAACTAGGATATTCAAGTGACTAGTGATTTTAAGCACCCAACCTGAGAGCTTTGAAAGAACCTGAGTCAGAGCCAGGTGCTCAGCACTTTCTGAAAATCAGGCCCTGCAAGAGGTCTCAAGTTTCAGCACTTCAGTCTCTGGGGGGCCCAAATTAGTTCCTTTAAAAAGTTTTGACCAAGATGTACCTCATGTGATAGTGGAGGGTATCATTTGAAATAGAGCCTACATTAGTGTTAGGGCTCCTAGGTCAGAGGACAACCCTGTGCATGTTTTCCTGACACAGGAAAAGGAAATCAAAAGGTGGGTTTTTTGGGTGCTTCAGTATCTTGGCAGCTGCTGTGCTGTCATATTGCTTAGTATTAGTTTCCATACAAGGAAGGTAATCCATGTTTACCCTTTACTCGAAGGGGATTGCTTTTTGTAACACTTTCTTGGTCTTCTCCACCTCTAATATTTCCATAAGTATTGCTGAGAACACCTATTCTTCTCCCTCTTCCCCCTCCTTCCATGTATAGTTTCTTAAAGCTAATAAAAGTAGAGATCCCTTAATCTTCCCTCAATTCTGTTGTGATGCCATGCATGGGTTTAACAGTGGATAAACACATCTTATCCCATAAATAGACTTGCCTTTTTATGTCTTTAGAGCCACAGCAGAAGCTTTTGCACTTTGATGAATAGCACAAAGAATATGTAGCTGACTTGTTTTATTACCTTAAGCTTTAAGAAAGTGAGAAGTTGAGTGCCATAGTTCATAAGGATTGGAAATAGGTTAGTAAGACTTACCCCCATTGGTCATAGCTATTAATATCCCACACAACTCCTTGAACAAAGATCTTGTGTTCATACATAGCTATAAAAAACAAAAACCAGAATTAACTAAGCTTCTTCAGAAAAACATCATTGAACATTACTAATAATGAGACATATTTACCAATTAAGGCTCCCAGAATGAATGGAGAAAGTTTTGTAAACACAATGGAATTAGTTGGGCGATTTCCTTCAAAGACCTTTCAAACAAAAAACAAATAGTGTTACATCCCAAACAGAGTCCCATATCAGAATCACATGAATCTATTTTTCCAGGCCCCTAGTATCAGTCACGCACCAAGTTATGTTTTATTTTAATTAAAGATTGTAGAGAGCAACATGAAGAGCATTAGAAGGAGATAATAGCAATTTCAATCTGTTGGTCATCCCCATAGACCATATTGTAATAAGTGTGTCAGCATAACAGTTGTAAAATGTCCTCTCCAAATGCCAGGAGCATGTACAGTAGAGCCCTGCAACCCAACCAAAGGGGCTCAAGTGTTAGGTCCTGGTCAGATCAGGATGTTGCCACCTAGCTGCATGGGGTGATGCTGAGTGAGTGTGCCAAAGAGTTAGTGCCTCTTACTCTGCAGCACACAGAGCAGGGGGCTGCAGATGATAGGAGCAGGGCATGGTAGCACAGCTCTCGCTGTGCTGACTTCATGGGCATGGGTCAGGTTGAAAACAATTCTTCCCACTTGGATTTGGGTTATGTGGGATTGGGTCGTGTTTGGACCTAAAAATTAGGCCCAAGCAGACTCTTACATGCACAAGTTCAGACTATGGGGATGACAGCAAGTGCAGTAAGATCAGGCTTCCAGGGCTAGACATGGAAAAGCCTGTACTGTCTGGGAAGTGCTGCAAGGTTGCAGTGTTCTGTTAACACAACAATGACATAGTTTGGTTTTTAAAAAGGAATTTGCCCCATCGTGAGACCTCCCAAGTCAGTCACTGAATCTCCAAAACTTCAACATTTGCAGCTTGCTGCTGTTCATGTCTAGCCAACTGCCACCAGAGGCCACCTCATTTCTCCTAACCTACTACATTTAAACATTTCTATAGTACCCACCTATTGTCTGCAACACACACAATGCTTCTGACACCAAAACATAGCAGTGTAATTTGAATGACAGTTATCACCACACTGATACCTTATGTGGAAGAAGTTTCTCCAGAGGATCTCCACTCAGCCCAGTAGCCTGCAGTTCTTTTCGAGCCTCATCAGCAGTCTTTCCTTTCATCAAGGCTTCAGTCTGAGCAAGAAAGTTGGCCAGAAGGATCTAATGGGAAGAAGTTAGATATTAACAAGCTAGCCAAATTACTGCCCTTCTAGTTAATAGTGCTCCCTCTCTATCTAGTGCTTAGAGCCCAGTACTGCACCAGGATTCCATTCCAGGGTGCACAATGTCAGGCAAGTCACTTAGAGCTAAAACTGAGGTACCAGGTATAGTACAACAGAAATATGGTTTCTTTCTCTGAGTATAGTCAGAAGGCTTCTCAGTGTCATGAATATATGACAAGGAGAAAATTTAAAGATTCAGGGTGAAATCATACTTCAGTGGGGCCAGGATTTCACCCCCAGAAACCACCACAATAACCACTGCACTGTATCTACCTCTGTAGCGCTCCTTGTGTTTTCATCCACTTTTCACAAGATTATGCACTTTCTTCTATGCCACACCCCCCAATCCATGGGATGTTCTTAATCAGATGACACACCAAGTTAGCCTCTCCTCAAGACCTGTACAAAGTTAGCCAGCTGAGAAATCCATGAACTGAGACAGAAACCTTAATGTCCTGCCACATACCAGCCCTACCTGAATAAAATGTATATTCTTATTGCAGTTACCCATCATCGCTCCTTTAAGAGTCATGCTACCTCCTCATTGTATCACATGGACTAGTTTGCAAGCACTTCAGGGTGGAGATCACATTCTGTTTTGGGCCGTGCCTATCAGTCACCATAATACATCATTTCTAACATGCCTAGGAATGACTGAGTGAAATTGCTCGGTCGTCTTTTTTTTTTTTTTTTTAAAAAAGAAGTTATTTATATTTGTCTGAAATCAGTGTTAACATCCTGTCACAAGAATCTAGAGTGTAATTTAAGAGGAGTACTAACAACCTCCCCCTCCGAAGCTGGAAATAAAAGGGTAGCACTAGGAAAGTTACACATTGCACTGGGAAAGTTAATGGAAAAAAGTCAGTTTATAGTTATGTTAAAAAGTGAGCCAATATAAATGGATGGATTAAACCTTTAATAAATCAGTCCAGGTTCATAGGAGACAATGCTCAGAAGATAAATAGCCTGTTGGTATCTTTATGAATTATTTTCCAAGGATGTGCAAAGCTTGGAGGTCAGGAGCATCTCTTAAGGAAAAGGTTCCATCATCTCCTTTGAAAATTTGACTCCTCGCAATATGCAGACTTAGCCTGATTTTTAAATGTAATTCTATACACCCCCCTCCAACAGGCCACATTTTGTCTGCCTCTAGACTAGAGAGTTGCAAGTTCTGCAGGAACAAAACCTCTGTTTCGTCAGGTCAGATTGTTCTGCCACACCCTGCTTGAGGGGGCAGTCTCAGACATTAAAAATGTGGTCCAGTGTTTAAAACATATGAATTCTGAAATACTGTTGTGTTGAATGAACTCTAGTCTCTTCAGCTGTAGTAAGAGGAAATATGGCTGCTAATGATAACAAGCACAAGTAGTTTTACCTTGTGATGCAAGCAGTTTCTGATTGGATTTTGGGTCTGGACTGGGATTAGAAAATCGCAGGGGATTATACGAGTTCCTGCAGGGAAGACAATGTTAGAAATCCATGAATACTTTATTAAAATCAAGCAGGAAAAGTTTTCCTAAAAAAAACTGTAAATTGACAAATTTCAGCCACTCTAAACTAGTCTAAAACAGCAGCAAAAAGTTTTCCAAAAAATAAATATTTCATAAATTCTTGACCAGCTCTACTTTAGATATTAGTCCTAAATCCTAAATCCTTTTGCTGCAACACCACAGCATGTTGCCTTCTAAGGCCACTGGTTAACAATATAATAGGTTGATGGTAAGTAAGAAGCCTATGCCAATTTAGCCAATATCCTGCCCTCAAGACTATCAATTCTTCAACCTCTGCAGCATCTGCTGTTCAGAATTTCCTCCCAAACCCAGGTGTTCTGCATAGCTGTCACCAGTTTTACAGTTGTACCTTGATGGATGAGCTGATAAAAGGCATGCTGCCCATTAGTTCCAGGTTCACCCCACACAATAGGGCCAGTATTGTAGTCCACACGAGTGCCTTTCTTGGTGATGTATTTCCCATTAGATTCCATGTCACCCTACAAGCAATGAGGTTAGAAGTTTAATCAGATATACCCTATAGGTTTTTTTTGTTGTTCTTGCGGAGTCTTCTATTAGGCCTGTAACAACTTTCTCCATTTACTTTAACTCTGTTTACTAACTTTTTTAAAATTGAAAAAGATAATTTGGTTTGTTGACATCAGGAAGGTTGGGATGCTAACAAAATCTGTGAGAGACAGGGTTTTTATGAGCCTCTCTATTGATGGTTGTGAAGAGCCAGTAGTTGTATTACTGTGTTACCAAGATAGTAATCTTCCTGAGAACTCTCCAAAATGCCATTATATTGTGTGCAGTGTGGTTTTAGGAGGGTCAATCCCAGGATATTAAAAAGACAAGATGGTTGAGGCAATATTTTTTTTATTGGACCAAACTTCTGCTGGTGAAAGACAAGCTTTCAAGCTACACAGAGCTCTTTGCCAGGTCTGGGTTTTCATGTCTTTTCAGGCTTTTCCATGTCTAGCCCTGGAAGCCTGATCTTACTGCACTTGCTGTCGTCCCCATAGTCTGAACCCAACTGTACTTTAACACAGTTCAATACTACATGGAATAGATAGTTTAGCATAAGTAGTTAGCACATATTCTAAGGGACGATTCCAGGTGAAGTGGCCTGTTATATTATGCTCCAGTGATCACCATCAAAAGAGATGCTTTATGCTAACAAGCAAAGTGCACCTGACCTCAAAAAAGGCAGTGAACTATCTATGCACAGACTTAGAGAACCTTCTGTACAAGCTGAGCCTTACCTGCTGGAAGTAAGCAGCAAAGCGGTGCATGTATTGATCATATGGCAGGAGCGCATGGGTTTCGCAGCCATAAAAGTTTATATACCAGACACCCAGCATGGCCAGCAGAACTGGTACATTGTTTTCCAGTGGAGCAGTGTGGAAGTGGTTGTCCTATGTAGGAAAGAGATAAGAAAGAAAACTACAGTGACCAAAGAAATTTACTTCCTTGAATAAGAGGTTCTGAGTTTGGTCCAATTGTTTCCCAAATTGAAGAGTGGCAACAAAAACTGATCTAAGACTGGGAAGGAGGGGTGAGCTCCAACAGAAAGTTTTTTCAAAGCAGTGGAAACAATAAGGAGCTTGGGGAAGACCAGTACTTTTCCACAACTGATTAAAGTCTGTCACCACCAGCAGTCTTAGTAGCAACATTGTACCAAGTTAATAGGAACACAATATTTAACAAGTATTTGCATACTCACCATCCAGTGGGCTCCTGCAAGCAGTTTCTCAAAGTTGTCAAAACCTAACCAAAACAAAGTGTGCATTTTAACTATCACAACTTACACATGGTTTCCTTGGAAAATAAGTCCTCAACACAGCTTAGATTCTTATACACTAAGATTTCCTTTCATTAGTGAAATTTTGAGTTGGAAAGCAGCTTTTTATAACTTTGGCTCTATCTGTGCCCCCAAGGTTGGGTTTGAGTAAGTCTGGGCTTTAAAATTTCAGGGCTCAACTTCAGCAAGTTTTTATATTTTAACCTTAGCCTGAAAACTGAATGAGAGAATAAGTAACAAAGGGAAATGTACACAGAGGCAGCATCTGTTATCAGTATCTGAATTTCTACAGCATAGCTTTCTGATCAGTCTCTGAATTACTGAGACAAATAGTTCACCCTAGAAAGAAATTGGAGAACTTTATCAGAAATTTACCTAGCTTGGTTTACATACAGTCCTATCATTATGGTCCTTAACCAGCACCACTCACCAGTGCACATTAGGAACTGGTGCCCTAATCACCCCAAACTACACTACAGCATTAATTGATAAACCTGTCCCTTTTCAGTATAAAATTCTGAAGAGGAGGAGGAGGAAATGGAGCTGATGATAAAAGCAGTAACTCTACAAAAGCAGCTCTGTACAGACTACTGGATCAAGAGCAAATAGCTAAATCAACAGCTAAATCAGTAGGCCAGCAACATTTATTTAAAGGCAGACTTGGGTTGCTCAGGCAGGTAGAAGGGTACTACCTATCTGCGACTTAGTTAGAATGGAAGAAATCCATTTAGTTTTACACAGCAACGGAGTTTTCACATACTGCAACTCCAATACTCAATCTCAAAAGCACCGTAACTATTTCCTTATGGCCTTCTCAGTGTCCAGGAAATTTTAGTTTTCATTTAGAAAATGAAATTAAAAATGACTGACTGAACAGAAGTCAAAAATATTTTTGACCATGCAAGTGAGCAAGATGCACGGTTGGCCATTTTGTCAAAGGCAAATTTGTGGGTGCAATTTCAGAAGTTGAGATGTGCTACTGAAATCCCAAGAGCCAAGTTATCTATTTCACTATAGATCATTTTAGCATATTCAATGTGTTGTAAATCACACTGCTGATCATGCAAGCCATGTAGAGTATTTTTATATAATATGGATACATACCAACATGCAGAGCAATGGAGAGACCAATGGCTGACCACAATGAGTAACGGCCACCAACCCACTGCAAATACAAGATTTTTTTAGATAGCAGTAACTTTTCATGAGGATTCTGTGTTTAAACATATGGCAACAAGTTTTACTAACTCCTCATACTGCACTCTTTGGATATGAAATAGAAATTTCCAAATTAATTTTCGCTCTTCAGAACACAAGTTTTTATTTTAATACAGGATGGAGATGTGTCCTTCCTTGTTCTGCACACCCATACCAGACATGCCAGACCATTTCTGGGAATGGGTTAGTTTAACTGGTGGAACAGACAGAAGATCCTTACTTTTTATGGGTTGCAGAATAAGCTACCTTAAGTGTTCAAACCAAAATGTAGTTCCATTTATTTTTACAGAATCACTTTTTGGCAATGTGGGACTGTGTCCCTTGTCTATGAAGGGCCATCAGTTTGGTTATATTTGGGGGGAGAGGGAAGGAGAGAGAAAGGTATTTCTTTAATAAAAATCTTACATATCAGAAGTGAAAACAAGCCATTCCATAAAATAATTCTAGAGTGATTCAGTGATCCGACTGCTGAATATGCTTGGTATGTTTTATGTGCACCCATTAGGAGGCAACATGTGTTTGGAGGCTGTCAGCCAGTGAGATCAAAGTTTGTGGTCCAGTGAGCTGGCAAATCACCTGGTACTAGCTTCTACCTCACTTCTAGCTGCTAACCTGAATCAAAGGCAGCTAAATATGCCTTAACTACTGTCCTAATGTTACTTTTGCTTGTAAGTAAATCCTTGTGTCAACTACAGCAATGTGAAGGCATTACAAATGGGAGAGGTGGTGTGCCACACACTGACAAGTGGGCCAGGCTACGAAACTGTTCAAGAATCCTTGTTATAAAGGGTTAGACCAACCTGAATGTTAAATAGCTTTCATGGTTTCAACAAGAAACCTTTAAAACCTAGTTTTAAATATGCTGTCAGGCATGTAACAAGGAGCAATATACTGACCTGTCTGATGATGTCAGGCATAGTTCAGATATATTACTTTTTCCACAAGGTTTGAGATGAAGGTCCACTGTACTTACAATTTGTGTCTGTTACTAAATATCAGATCAGATTCTGGTTCTTTGATATCTGACCTTTACTGATCTAAATTATATACAGTAGAGTGTGACAGTCAAATGTCACAGCTTATAATAACTACTTGTAAGACCTACACTTGGAGCAATGAGCTATCTCCTGTTACTCAACAGCTGTCTAGACAGCACTGCATACAGAAAGCTCCTCTTCTGACCTTTGATAGGGAGACAAACTGAATGGCCAAGATTGATATATATATATTCACTACTTTGACATGTTCCCTCAATTTGTGGTTAGGATTCTAACATATTACTGTCTTAAAGCACTAGTGGATTTGTTTTAGTATTTTTTTTGGTGTGTGTGGGGGGGCAGGATATTGACCTTTTAATTTGGCTTTTCTGAAGCAGGTTAAGTTATTCTAACAGTTAGCATCTATTGCTTGGTGTTAAACATTTACTTACATCCCAAAACTCAAACATATTCTCAGTGTCAATTCCAAAGTCTTTAACTTTAGGCTAGAATAAAAAATAAAATGGGTAAATACATTCATATTAGAGAACACAGATGTCAAACAGCAACTCCAGGATGCTTATATAGCTGAAGTTATAGTTAGCTTAAAGATATTATTCCCTATATCACTAAAGTACACACAGACAAACATCTCCCTGACTTCATATTCTGGGTCAGAAGTTTAAAGCCTCCACCAGAAAATAAGCCATGATTGATCTTGTGTTCCTCCTGGTCAATGTACCATCTGTCAGCGGTCCCAAAAACAAGAAGTTCAATTTAGTGGTGTAAATGGATCAGAAAATTGGTAAATGGGAAGTAGTGTAATGAATCAACATGGCATTCAGTGTTGTTCAAAATTAATAGTTTACATGCAGCAGGGTCAGAATGGAAAATGGAACTTTAAAATAGACTTGCAGAAGGCTTTGAGGTAAATGCAGACCTTTCTCATCTTATTATAGATGTTCTTACTCATTGCAGTAGTTTTTTTACACTGCAGCCCCTTTATGCTTGCAAATTTTCACTCTACATACCCACCAAATACCAAGACTATGTGTTACACTACTTACACCTAACAGCTTACTTTCATCAGTGCAGAACTCGGCCCAAAGATTTAAATGGTGTTTAAAACTCAATACCAGAACCTTACCCAGGAGTACATAACTAGTTAAGCAAGAAGTGGTACCCTTTGTTAATAATGGGGCAACCATATGAACTGTAAATCAGAAAATGATATGGAGTACAGTTTTTTTTACAACATTTGATCTAAAAGAAAAGTAGAAGTATATAAAGCAGCTCTGAGCAATATTTCCCATCCTAAATAAGCCATCCCTTGAAGGCCCTTTGGAGACTGCATTTTCCCATAATCCACTACTGGGAATAATTCTTCTCTTGTACATGAAATTGTAAGACTCCCCCCTTTCCAAGAGCAAGATGATCTTAAAGCATGAGGTATTGTTTTCACACCTACACATTTCCACACCTTACTGGATTTTAATTAAGTTCATTTTTAAAACCTATAGCATAGGTCTAAATAAAAAAAGTGTTATACTTACGCCATTGGTAGACAAGGCAACAAAATGCTTGGCCACAGCAGAAGGCTTTAATAAAATAAAATATAAACTAGTTAAACAGAACACTGCTAAATATTTTGCATTGCTGATCAGCCACAAAGCTGGTTTATGCATGTTGACACAATCAGGACTGTTCTTTTGATATTTGCTTCTGCTGGCATTAAGAAAACATGGTTGACTGTTACTATTCATGTATATTTGCTCTGTCTGTGAACTTGACTTTATCATGAATACAGATATAAGAGTCAGCAGCATGTCTGACCCAAATGTAGGCAAGGTTCAAAGATAGTCTAAGTCTCCAGCAAATATCCTGGAGCAACATACTCAACCTTCAGGACAAGGTGCTGAAGGTGTCTGTCTAGATCAACCCTTGCTGACCAAGTTTTGGAGCAGCCTGGGTTTGATATGTTACAAAGATCCTCCTGGCAATCATCAAAAGGTCAGTGGAGGCCAGAAATCCTTGCCTTGGTTCTTTAATGAATCAACCCAAGTGACAGGCTTGAAATTCAACCTGAATCTCTAAGTGAGGTGCTAAGTATTTCAGGACTCAGGGAGGTATTGTTATAGGAATAGTTTACAAGAGAAATGCTCTCAAACCCTGATATTGAAAAGTAAATATAGTTTCCCCTAGTGGGAGTGGGTTAGAGGTAGTTTTAATTAAAAAAAAGGAACGACTTGCATTTCAAAGTCTGAGTGGTAGGAGGGTGAAGGAAGGAGTGAGATGCCAGAATATGAACTGAAGACCTCTATTCACAGTTCGGACATCTGCTGCAGCAGCCTCCATCTACTGCTTCAACTATAACTGTGTGTAGCTTTGAAAGTTTTGCAAAGGACTGGCAGGCCATTCCATGGAGGCTAGCATCTCCAAGTTTCCTCCACCTCACAGAAGTCTGGAAGTTGTATCATATTACAAGATGGATCTGAGATACAGGCTACATCTATTCAAGTACTTTTATACAAAGGATTTTAGGTGCAGCTCAAACATTTGTCTCAACACCTAAGTGGCTTCATCACTGATTAAACTAAATTCCATTACCATTAAAGTTAGTGGTTGCATCTCTGATCTTAATGTGACAGATCCAACATTTGCCAACGTGTACAGCATGTGTTTCGGCAGGAGTTGGCTCTGCTCCAGAGCTTGTTTAGAACTGACACTGGGAAGGGCTGTTATGTGTTCAGTTATGTAATTTAAGCACGTTATACTTACATCATTAGCAGAAAGAAGAAGCCACTCTCTGGCTGTTTCTGCATTGGTAATAGTTTCTTGGGTGGTGAAAGTCTGCACAGTAGAAAAAGATCTTTTACTACAGTCACATTCACAGAAAGTACATGAAGTCTGTATGTGTTTAAGGAATGCAAGACAAGATTAGGCTACCAAAACATCCAATTGTTCCAGCTAGTCAGAGCAGAGTAACCCTAAATTTATATAACAGCAGCAGCTTGATTTCAAGGAAGAATGTACCCACTGTGCATGCAGATATTAGTATTTCTAGGTGCACACCTAATTTCACATTAACATTGGGCTGAGGACACAAGGAATATTTAGGAATTTTTTTTTGGCAGGTACATCAGTTTTAGCTGATGTAATTGATATTTGAAGGAGGGCATAAACTGTTTGGACTACAATTTCCACTTTAAGACTAGTGGTGACTTCTAACTGAAAACTTAAATTGGGAAAACCACACAGATTGTTAGCTCTATTTGTTTTTGTTCCCATCTCTCACATTTGGGACACTTTATTCTACTTAGTTTCTGTTAACACTCTTGCCATAACTTCATTTTGCTGATTAAAGAAAATACGAGTTCCTGCTTTATGAAGTGTGAAAACAAGGTCAGTCATGCAATTCTTCTAGGATTAGCTTCAGCCATTCTGATTTACTCAACCATCACAATATAGCTTTAAGGATGAGCATTACATTCATTTTACTCCCATCCATCTCCGAAATTATTGTGTTATAGAACATGCATTTGTTGAGAAACTTAAAAAATACCATTCGTTCCCCTCCGAACATATCCAATTATCTAACTACAATCTGGCAAATAAACTGAACTGTTACTCTTTCAATCTGGCAATATTTTGAGCTTTTGAACCGTGATGATTGAACTCAATTACGCACAAAACAATGCTAGTGGTCATTTTGAAGTTTCCTTCTTACTGCATACATTTTAGTTGAAGGTCTGTGTTACTGCCAAGTTGAGATAATGAGCAAAACAAGCAAAGCAAGGTCAGCATTACACACATGGTAATTTGTTAGGGATTGTGCCTTTAAAACCAATGGGGTTCTGTTCTGCTTTAGAAATGAAGGGACCTTAGTCATACAACTATGAAATTTGTCTCCATCAACTTCCTCAGGCAAGACAGAAGCCAGTATGTTTTAGTTAGTATTCCCAAAAAGGAACAAAAACACAAAATAAAGACAAGACCCTCCCAGCCATTATGTTCATGAATTAAGGCAAGCCATCCTCAAGCAGCATTCTAGAAATGCAGTTATAGTAAGTTTATGTTGAAGTGCAAAACTGAAATTGTACAGATTGCTTACAAATTGACAAAATATTATGCTGGCAATTCGTAGCTTCTACAATGTTTACGGTGATCAAGAAATTTAACGTTTTGAGTTCTTTGTGGGCCCAGACTTGTCCATTTTGTGTTCGTATAGAGCTTAGCACAGCGGGGTCTGGTTCTGAGGGACTTTCACAATACAAAAAAGTAATATAGAATAGCATTCTGTAACATTGGTCACAGTAGCTGCTTAAAGAAGATCTTTAAGTGTACCGTACTTTGTGTAGGATCTATTATCATCAAGAACCAAAAATATACAATTGGGTAAAACTAGGTTCTAACAAATAGGAAAAATGCAGCAAAGATATTGCAAAATGTTAAACCTGATCTTGAATTTTAAAAGAACTAGCCACATGGGATCACAAATTCCATTTATGGGATATTGGACACTGAGACAAGACTTTTTGGGTATGGCTCAATTAAGCATTGTTTTTGGACACATCCCATTCATTTAAACATCTGGAGAAGTTAATATTTTCATAGAATTGTAGAACAGGAAGGGACCTCAAGAGGTCTTCTAGTTCAGCCCCTTGCACTCAAGGCAGGACCAAGTATTATCTACCATCCCTGGCAGGTGCCTGTCTAACCTGCTCTTAACCTCCAATTACAGATTCCACAACCTCTCTAGGCAATTTATTCCAGTGTTTAACTACCATGACAGTTAGGAAGTTTTTCCTAATGTCCAACCTACACCTCCCTTGCTGCAATTTTTATACATTTTGAGTGATCTCCATTCTGACTATTTACAAGTTGAGACAGTCACCTGCTAGTGTTAATATTTTCTATACCTTAGATGCAATGATGAAGAGTGTTGTCTCAGGATTAAGCTCAGCCACGGTTTTGGCTATATGAGTACCATCAATGTTGGATACAAACCAGACACGAGGGCCTCCCTTGGAATATGGTTTCAGGGCTTCAGTCACCATAACGGGGCCCTGGAAAGCATCAATATAGTTAGGTTGTAAAATCTTCGCTGCACACGCGCACAAGTCACAAAACGTTATGCAGGAGTCAGTACTTGAGAGCTTACCAAATCTGAGCCACCAATCCCAATATTGACCACATCGGTAATTGCCTTTCCAGTGTAGCCTTTCCATTCTCCACTACGAACTTTCTGCAGTTTAAATACACAGATATTAATTAAGGTTAAGTTACAATGACTACAATATCAAGACCATCATTTATGTCTAGATTAAGGTCACAAATACTCCTAGGAGATTCTCCCAAAAGGTTCTCCTTTTAAACAAGGAAATACTAAGAACCAAATGCACAGCTAAAAAGTAAATCCATAAAAACAAAAAAGGATTTAGAGTTTTTATTAAAAAAAGACTATCATTGTGGACACAAATATACTAACTTATAAAGGGCAAAGGTCAGCCTTTACATATGCACATACTCCCCTTACTCAACTCCAACTGGAGCAGCACATATTTCACAAGACTGAATAGGACCCTTACTATAGAGCAGTGACAAACGTTACTTTACAAACGTAAAGCTTCATATAGGCCAATGATTTCCTCATACCACAGCCGAAGTACTGCATACTAATACCAGTGCCTAAGTCTACAAGAACAGAATATAAGACTTCTGTGTTCCATCATGGCAATTACAATAAATATGAATGTTAAAGAGGAGGAACATCAAAGGAGCAACTCAAATTAAAAATCTATATAATAACACGAGGATTCTAAGCTATTAAATTCTGGTTTGCATTTGAACTTAAATTCAGAGGAGTTTGGATCTGAAGTTCTGCACTGGGCCTCTAAAGTAAGTAGGTTTTGCTAGATATAATAGAACACTGGTTCTAAAAAGTGTCATGTGTATACAAGATTTATGTCTAAACAAAATATTCAAAGGTTTTCCATTGTACACAGGTCTTCTATTAAGAGAATCAGTTCTGTGCTTCAGCCCTACTCGGTCTGCCAGCTACTGAAAGTTTTGAATAAAAGCTGTCAAACTGGTATACCACCAAAATAGCAACCTTCGTTTGCCCATCATTGACCACCTGTGCATTAATCCCACTCATTGCACAGAGCAAAGCTTGCAAACATGAGCAACATCCACTACCAGGGAGAGCGGAAAATGAAACCCAATTCTAAAGCTATTTCTTTTCTGCAATCAGATTAATCATCGGAGCTCCAATTATTCTAATACTTTCTCCCCAGACATGCTTTGTGAAGATGATGCTCTACTGAAGAAAAACTTGTAGACGTACCAAGTTAAGTAACAATTTATAGCAGTACCAAGTTAAGTAACAATTTATAGCAATCTCAGCTACAGGCTACTTTAAAAAAAAAAAAGAGCCACCACTTAAACCATAGCCTCTTAAAACCATGTTAAGGAACCATATTTTTTGCCTTCATAGAGAAGACTAAATCAAGCATCCTTTAGTTTCCACCACTACAAGGAAGATTAAAATGATGTTTAAACATGATTATTTTGGTCACTCAGAGGGGCTCTGGTCTGCATGCGAAGTGCCCAATTGCTAGCTCTGAAGATTGAAGTCCATATCTGCAAAAGAGGTATGGCATAGGCAGCAATAGAAGCTTCCTCACACTATACCACCAGTACATTTTAATCCTGCCCAGGAAGGAGACCTTATAAGGGATAAAAGACTGAGCTTCTACAGCCCATTCAGTTCTTAATTGTGGGCTGAGGCTGCCAACAAAAGGTGCCAATTAGTGTCAGTTATTTTGGTTTGGGCACTTCTCCACTGGGAGCTGGATCTATTCCCAACTCATTTCACATAGGCCACCCAGCAGTCATCAGGCCAGGGTAACTTTTGGTCATTACCATCTGGGCAGGATTTACAATGACAGCTTCATGAACAAAGGTTTACCCCATCATCATCTCTGAACCTCACTGATGTGTTTAAGATACCTAGAACAGTGTATATTGATCAGCCCTTATCAAGCATCTGAGTTTGGCATTCAGGCATATGAAATGCATCCAAATCTTAAGCTAACACCCACTTTGTTTTCCATGTTTGTTCCTAGCCAACTGTTCTTAAAGAATTGTCACTACAAAAGTGAGTGTCTAGAACTAGTTTGATAGACATCTACATTTTAAATGTTGTGCTGTACTAAACCAAAGACAAATAGTCATTTATGATTTGAGAGTAGAAGATGTATGGTTTAGACTAGCCAGGGAGCATACCAAAGAATTCTTACACTGTTAAGTTGCAAACAAATAGAGTTGACTCTTACATATACCTTATGAAAGGCCAAGATGCTCCAGGAAAATGGCTGTGTGATTAGAAGAGACCATGGAAAGAGTCCAAGACACCTTCTACAATACACTGTAGAATTGTTGGAGCACCTGACAAGTGAGCTGGGAGCCTCCTGACTGCACTCATGTTAGCAAATAATGACTTTAAGGGGGAAGTTCCTTCTAGACAAACATTTCTACAGTAAATGAGATACGACCAAGTGATTAAGAAATTAGTAAGGGAAGGGAGAAGTCATTAGGTGTTTGGTGCCTAACTGCCATTTGTGCCCAATATTTATATAATTGGAACTCACAAGTTATGAAGGAGGATAAAATATTATTGTAAACAAAACAGTTTAAATGCAAACTCAGGAAAGTGTTTTTCTAGCAAGTCTTGTTCAGAAAAAGTAACCATTCCTGGAAGACACGTACAGATATGGATCCATTTTGTTCATGCAGCTACTACTGTCCCTCATTTAGACTTGTTAGGTACTGTAGTAGTTCATATTATAAGTGCAACAGAACACTGATGCAAAGTACACAGATCAAATCAATCAACTAAGGATTTTATACCTGACAGAAGTGCTTCATCTTGTCCAACACCTTGTTAACTTCTGGGACTACATCTTTGCCATCCACTAATATTGGAACATTGGAGCGATTCCTCAGGGCAATATGAAGCACAGCCCGATTCTGAAACAAGGCAACATGGGAGACAAACATCATAAAATATTAACTGAGGCAGTTTGGCAGTGTAGATACACAAAACAGCACCCAGAAGGCAGCAATATAACATTAAAGGCTCTGAAGCCTGCCTATCTAAGGACCTCTCAGACTATTAACTTGAAAGTCTTCTACGACTACTAGCCTGCATCTCTCTCTCACTATTTCTAACATGCTCACTGTGGTATCTAAGCACCTGATCAGATTTGACAGAGTTGGTGGAAAACGGTCCAAAAAACTGTCCAAAACTAGAAAAGTATGTAGTATGCATATTAGGCAAACATTAATAGATTGCAATGAGAGATAATGAATTTGAAGTTGTAGTTAAAAGCTTGATCTTTTGATAAGCAATTTTAATGCATTTGCAATTCATACTTCTGCATTAAGCAGAGATTATGGTCTTCAGGATTGAAGATAGTTTTATGATCAACTCCTAGTTGTAGTCAATAACTCAAGGGAGTTATGTACTTTAGCAGTTTCTCAATGACTACAGCAGTAACAGGAAAATACAATATACAGGAAAAGATAAATAAGCATATATAAGTAGCAGCCACGTGACAGGGAAATTGATAGCAGTGGAATAGAAGAACATGCTTAACAGAGAAAGGCCCCCAAATACTCGTGTGATATGTTAGAATTCTAGAGTAGTGCCAGATTCTAATCTCAGATGCACCACACCCTGCTTATATCAGAAGCCAGAATTTGAGTCTTCATCTGCAATGATGAGTTTGTTGCTGCTGTAATCTAGGATGGAGGATTTACAGTTAAACAATTCACCTGGTCAGTGAGGCAAAGCCAACAAGGAAGATATGAACTGCCAAAGTTTATGGGTTAAATTACAGTACTAAAACCAATCTAAGAGAGCTTTGGTGGCTGCTGGGTCAGAAGACTCAGGAGCCTCCTGAGCTACAGTTATGAAGATGCACCCTGTTTTTAAATTGAGGATGAAGGATGGTCCTGGTCATTCTTCGCCATGGAATCAAATATATTAGTACTTGAACTGATTTCTACTTATTTTTATCTTAAAACTTTTCAAATTGATAAATACTGCATTTGAAGAGATTTATTTCTGGTGCAGTGACCACTAAACAGTAGCTTACCATGCAAGTTAACACTCATTTGGGATGTACACATGACATTGCTATGCATGGGTGCACTAAATAGGACTTTTGCATACATGCACACCAGGCAGACAAGACCTCCAGCATCAAAATATAGATCAACCTTAAATGTGGTCAGCTTGTTTAGATTTAGAACATTCTCTAAATTAGAGTACAAGTCAATTCTGAATCTTTATTGCTTTGGACATGTTAAATATTTCTGTTTGATGGTATCCCTTTTAAAATCAGAAGTGTTCCGATTACTTAAAAGATTTGACATGATGTTCTGCTTGGCCAGATAGAGTGTAAATTAAACACAGATCTGTTCCAGGTCACCCATCTGATATAGTTCTGCCAACTATAAAGGAGACCTAGGAGTCTGATAAATGCAAGTGTTCCTGGACTCAAAGTGTTTTGCATTACTACCTCTTACCATAGCAGCCCTTGAAGTAGGGCATAAGTACTGGAGGCCAAGCAGGGAACCAAGTCCACTCCTCTAAAATAATGTTACCTCAGAATATAGTTCTCTGGTGAACACTTATCTTGACTGGTATATTGTTCCAAGGCAGGGAAGAGAGCAACCTCATAAGGAGTAGTCAAAATGGACTACCTTGTGATAAGCCACAGGCTCCTTATGCCAAATTGAGCCTCCGAGGGAGGCAGAACCTCAACACCCACCCCTCACACCAATCCCTAGATAGTTAATAAAAATCAAGAGCTGAATGGGGCAGAGCTGTCCCCTGCTCAGCCAAAATAATCTTTGAAAGCAGGGTGCTCCCACCTGGGGCTGCATGACTGCACATGGGAGGGATGAACAATCACAATGACTTTGAAACTCTGAAGGAGAAAAATAGTAATTTCATTCTGAACTTGGACCAGTGAACTCTCCCAAGCATCATTTCTGAATTACTGGTCAGAATTCAAAGAAAAGGTTTGATGGGCACAAAGACCCAATTTTCAGACAGTTGAAATACGAGGTCTGCACATATGCAATTGCAAGTACAAACTGGCTAAATTCCTATTTCTGGGTCCAAACACAGACTTCAGCTTTCTGAAGAGTTAGGTTTTAAAATGGTCTGTAGTCATTCTAGCCACTGAAGTTTTAACTGCTTGCCTTTAATATTAAAAAAAAAGGGCAGGCAAAGCCTTAGCTGGAGCTAAAAAAGGACAAAAGTAAAACAATTAAGGGCAATGGATTAATACAGAAAGGGAGGAAAAACTGCCTTTCCAAAGCTGCTTTATCTGGACATGACAAAACACCTCTACAAACACTCAATACTCACAAGCAAAATATAATACAACTGCTGAGCTCTTCGAAGCAAAGTGTTTAATAGTGTCTCTGCAAGTTCACAGAGAATGAACACAAGCAAATAACTTCCATCAGAAAAGCTCTAAAATGTGAAAGGAACTTTAATATTTAAGATAACCCTCTTGGTTGAGCTACTTTGTAGATCAGATTTTCTTCCATTCTCAATTTAAAAAAAAAACAAAACACCACCATGAGTAGCTACTTAATTTGTTTTATCCAACCTAACTGAAGTCCTATGCAGCACACCACCAACTTTGAGCAACAGTGTGTTCTAATGAGCCTGGATATAGTGATCACTTTCACACTTAGAAAAAAGGGAAGGTCTTTGTTCTCTTGATGCAATAGGTGGCTAGTTCCCAAAAAACTGGGTTTATAACTGCCACTGACAAGTATCCTCAACAGCACAAAGCAGAAGTTGTTACACAGTTCTTACTAGAAGTTCTTGTGTCATTTGCCAAGCTTTACCACGACTAGTCTTAAGCAGAAACAAAGAAAGTGTCCCCTTGCATCTAATATCTGACATGGGGCAGGGTATGAGCTCTGTAATTCATCAGTTGGTCCCATCTCCATTCTCCAGCAGAATGCCTTTAGAACCAGGCCAGTGTGGGAAACCATTTCTGGTCCAGTTTCCTCCACTTCCAGCAGCTTGGGGCCCAGTAAACTGTAAGGCTGGTCTCCAGCTCTCCACCCCACCTCAGTTGCCATTGATGTCACTACTTGTTTTTGTCTTCTCCTCAGAGCCTGTGTGTGTATGGTGTGATGAACATGAGCAAAGAAATAAATACTATCACCACATTTAATAGTTCAATGCCCATAAGTAGCCATGTGGTAGTAATTTCCAGCCCCACACCCCTCCAGCATAAATATGCATAAACTAGGTCAGTGGTTCTCAACCAGGGAATGTATACCCCTGAGGGTATGCAGAGGCCTTCCAGCAGGTACATCAAATCATCTAGATATTTGCCTAGTTTTACAAGAGGCTATATAAAAAGCACTAGTGCAGTCAGTGCAAACTAAAATTTCATACAATGACTTGTTTATACTGATCTATATACACCACACACTGAAATGTAAGTACAATATTTATATTCCAGTTGATTTATTTTATAGTTATATGGTAAAAATGAGGAAGTAAACAATTTTTCAGTAATAGTGTGCTGTGACACTTCTATATTTTTAGGTCTGATTTTGTAAGCAAGTAGTTTTTAAGTGGTGTAACTTGGGGGTACACAAGACAAATCAGACTCCTGAAAGGGGTACAGTAGTCTGGAAAGGTTGAGAGCTACTGACCTAGGCGATATAGCCACAGACAGAAATAAACCTTACCTCAGTGAAGTTGATCTTCTCTCCAGTGAACATTTGCTCCCTAGCATTTTCAACACCCCTTGACTTTGCCTGAGAAGGGTAAAAAAAAAAATTGTATCATTCACTTAAGGGAAGAAGAAACTAACCCCTCCCAGATAGGCCCAACTGCATCAGAAAGACAATTTCTTCCATAAAAACTAACTGGCTACAAGAGTTATATTATCTGCCAGTAGTTTACAACTGTAAGAGTTCTTTCTCCTATTTTAAAGGAAATTGGTTAGAGGGTGTTTGTTCACTGAAGGGAGAGTGGTATAGGTGAAACTGACACGACAATCTCAACTTTTTAAAATTACTCGTTTCATCTTGTTAACATCAACAATACACCAGTCAATAGCCTATTTATTTATTTTAATAAACAGAAAAGTGATTGAAAGTAATTTTTTCCTGCAGGTCCAAATTTCTGTTAGTACTTCCAAATATGATGCATCACAGATACAAGACTGTCTTGGTCTTTCATCTAACTAAGTAGCCAGGGAGAATGGTAAACCTGATCACCACACTGAACTGAGGTTATCCAGGCAAATCTTTTCAGAAATGACAGTCCTGAAGCTTTCAGATGACTATTTAAGCAACAAAGGATGTTTCATGCATCACTTTTAAACTGCGGATATAATTCTGTTAAGGACTTGACACTTGTACTAATTTAGTTTGGTTCTTTTTTTATATATAATGTAAACAAAGTTTGTTGTTCTTTAAGAGACCTGCACTGATCTTTAAAAGCATCTGATTGACAGGAGAAACATTTTTGGCTCCACAAACTGATATTTCATTACATCGGAATGGCCCAATTGTTATATGGTTAATGCCAGCATGTAGACACAGATTGGGCTGTGGTGGTGATTTGAGGCAGCTCTCAGATATACTCCCCCACTAGACTGTACAAAAGCCCTCTGCCAGTGCTCTGCAGCTAGGGAGCAGATAACAGTCATCTTTCATGGCATAATCTTCCCATTCTCAATTCCATGAGGAGTCCCAACTTGTATTAATGCAGACATCAGTATTATCTTCTGTTGGTTGCTCTGCTGCACAGCCAAACCCCTCCTGAGGTGGGTAGCGAGGTGGGGCTCATGGTCAGTGAGGAGGCTTTGGTAGAATAGCTCCTTACAGAGTCACGTTGCCTTGGGGCCAGAAAGCAAAGCTGTGAAGCTATCCCTAGGATGGTCTGCAGGTTTCATGGGCTTGATGTCTACAAATCCTTGTGAAGAGAGGAAACTATCTACTCTTGAGAGCTGGGCTGAAGTTTTCCCAACTCCCAATAGGCACCCAAATACTCTTGATAATCTTGACTTTTATGTCCTGTGCTAGAACCAACTGTGCCAGGAAGGATTTAGCTCTGCATTTTTCTACAACTTATTTTCATCTTTCGATAGATCAGGGTGAACATAAGGAATTACCAGTTCTATCAGCATCTTCATGACCTCTTCTGTAACAAGGTTCTTCGAATAATCCACCAAGATATCCCCATGATCAGTATTCAGAGTCACACTGCCAACAGAGATGGTTTGTTAAATTGCAAGTTCCTACAGAGATATTATTTTATGCATGCAAGTAAGAGAGATTACCCAAATAATTTGGACCCCAAATCTACAAAAGCTAATAAGAACAGCCAAAGGGACAGTTTTGCCCAAACACATTTCATAAGAGGATTTACTAGATACTAAACAGTTTAATTGGACTATAATTTTCCAAATATAGCGTCCATTTTCTCCTTGGAGAGTTTAAATAGAATGAAGTCTATTAAACAGTGTTAGAAACAATCATATTGACATTTAGGCCAATCATTTCAATAAAAACAACAAGATGAAAAAAAAAAAAATCAAGTCAAGGATTCATATTCATTCCAGCAGCAAAGTGTGACAAAAGCAAGCCTGCTCAACAACAAAAACAAAACACACACACACGACAACTAACTAATACAATCCCAAGTATAAAAAAAATGCACTCTGCTCCATTCAGTATTAATCTCATTTGTGAGTTGTGTAATCTAATCCTCACTGTCCAGCGGAGTGCTCCAAATTACTTAACTAACCCTTGTTTGAAGAATATAGTCTAAATCTCAGAAGATCAGCATTTTTAGCCCTAGATCTGTTGAAGGCTGCAACATGAAGACGTGTTTATTAGAAGTAGCACCAAGACAAGTCATGTATTGCCATGCATTTAGTCTTCTTGGAAAATGGACTACTTTATTAGCCCCTTGCTGTAGTAGGAAGCGCTAATTATTCCATACCCCAAATTATTCCATACCCCATCCAAAGCAACAGAATCCTCCAGTCATATACATCCTAATTTTCTTTGCACTGGGCACTACTTTTACAGCGCACTTCTCCTGTGTAGGGGGAAAACTCATAAAACTGTTTCCTATTACTCATTCCAACACTAGCAAACAGTGTTTCTACCCAAGGAATCTTGCTTCCCTATGCTATGCTATTTTTCTTTTGCTCCAGGTGCTGCGCACCCACAAATCCCATTGAAGTCAATGGAAGCTGCAGGTACTCAACACCTCTCAGGATCAAAATCTACATTGTTCACTATTATCTCCTGTGTCTTTCTGCAGCAAGCTTTCCTTTCCCCAGTGTCTGAACACAATTTATATACTATTTTGGAGTACACAGCTATGCTAGGAATCTAACAAGAGCAAATTAAGACATAGCCCCTAGCCCAAATAAATGTGATGTGACACAACAAGCAAGGGCCATAAACAGGGAGGGTGGAGCAAGATGGGGAGATGCAGGACTAAGGTTATTATTGTAACATCAGTAACTCAATCAGGCATGTACATCTGGGTCCAATAATTTAGTATTTTTTGTTTCTTTCTCCCCCTAATCCTATCAGAACTAAGATTACTGTACAGATTTGAATGAGGAAAGGAAGATATTTTGGCAAAAAGCTTTAGGATACCATCAAAGAGAAGAACAGGCAGGCATCAGAAAAGCAGATAGTAAGACTGAAGTAGAAAAAGAATTGTAGCAAATACAACATACTACAGTCTGATCAGCCTGTTCTACCACACTTTATATACTTTTCTAATGCTGGGTCTAGGTTTCCAGTTTCCTCAGGTTAAGTATGCTTAACTCTTGGGCCTGGTCACCACAGTTTTTGTACTGCAAAACTATCAACTATTTTGGTTAGGAGGTGTTACTTAGGCACTAAAAGTAATAACTGCATCTGTTCTAAGGGCCAGCAAAGAATGGGGCCCCATTTACTAGGCACTGTATAAATACAGTAATAGACAGATCATGCCCCAAAGCGCTTACAATCTAAATTGACAAGACAGAGTGGGGGAAGGGTATAACACACAAGCAAAGTGAACAATGCGATGGCAGCAAGTGTCATTAGCTTCACATTTTATTTTGGTGGGGGAAGTAAGTTGGAGTGGATCAGCTAAATGGAAAGAAAGTGAAAGGAGAGGAAACATTGAAGGGAAGTGGGGAGAGGAATATGGGTAAGGGGAGAACAGAGTAAGAGGGGCAGGTGTGGGTTAAGCTGAGGTGATGCAATTGTGAGGGAGAAGGTTAGAGAAAGCAGCCAGTCAGCACAGGGCAGAGAAAGTCCAGTCAAAACTGTAGAAAGTTCTCTGCATGTCTGAAAGGTCCCTGCTGCTGCTGCTACAGCTACTCCTACCAACTGGAGTCTCTGGCTGGTTTTTCCTCTACACTTTTAGATATACAATCCCTAGTGTGGCTGCAGTTATCCTGGTATAAAGGTGCTTACACCAATATAGCTTGCTATAAACACCTTTATACAGGTGAAGCTTGCTATATTTGTATAGATACCTTCTAATCATTTAACTACATCCACATTAGGGGATGTACAGTTCTAAACAGATTGAGCTAAAGTAGTATAAAACCTGTTGAGACAAGCTCTTTAAGAAGGTACATTTTATATAGGTTTGTCACATTTTTAATTTGATACTAAATTGCTTTATGCACCCAAAGTTTGAACCTACTTTACTAACAAAATATCATGCCCTTTTGTATATCAATAGATTTTTCATGATTTAAAGGAATTCTAAGAACAATCTCAGACTACAATTAAGCACAAGGAAGTTGCAACAGAGACTATATTCTAGTCAATGTATGGTAAACTTAACTTCACATCCTTGAAACTTGGGCTCCCTGTATTCTACAGAAGTATTTTATTTATTCATGGGGGGAGGGAGAATCAACCTTAGACCTAGAAAATTAAGTATCCCAGACAAAGATTTTAGTTACTAAAAATGGAGAAATTCTTTGAAACTAGTCATTCATAATGCTTTCCCTGTTCAGACGAATGAAGGGGAACTTCCCAAATTTATCTTTTATATAAGAGACGATTGGATCATTGTAGCTGCTGCGGGCTACCACAACAAATCTAACTACCACCCACACCTCATCTGGAGTATGAAGGGATATAATGTAATTTTATTTTAAACCTACTTAAGAGTATGTGACTCTTAGAAGAAATCCAAAAAACCCTACAGATCAATAATGTTCTGCTACAGTGCACATTTTGCAATGCAGCATTTATTAGATGGTGCTACCCACATGAAAACAATGACTTGTCACATAAGCCACGTCCACACTTAAGTGATGTAACAGTTTCTTGTAAAGCCATTACCATGGTACCATACAGAATATTGGTCTCCCCCCCCTACAATGTTAAATATAAAGAAGCCATTTGGAACCTTGAATCCATCATTGCTCAAATTCCCAGGTGACTTGTAATGCTTTCCGCCCCACACACACTAATAGTTAGCCTAGAGGCTCTCTGTTCTTTTCTGATGTATACCTTACTACAGTCATTTATGTCTTTGTAATCGCCAAGCTATATTACAGCAATGCACTCTACTTAGGGCTATCTTTGAGAAGCACTCAAACTTCAGCTGGTGCAAAATGTAGTAGTCTTTTCTGAGTGGGGCAAGCGGTTATGAACACATACCAGCACTGCATACGCTGCACTGGCTATTTGCTTCAGAAAAGCTCGACTCAGTCTGCAACCTCCACGTAGTTATGATTTGCTGGGGTTATGCTGCTGCCAGCAGTTTTGGTAGGGTATTCTTAGTGGATAACCCATGCTTCTGGAATCTGCTCCTTCTGTCAGCCTGCCAGAACTAGAGATTGAATTTCAAGGAGCAGTCAACTATGAGCCAGGTGATGGATTAACTGCTCTCAGCATTTGTCAAAAGACTTATGCATTTTTTGTTTAAGAGTTCAAATTCATGTGACATTGTGGGAAGTGTTCATACTTGCCTCCAACTATGAAGTATGCCAAACTAAACTGCAAATGTGACCTTTTCTCAGGCAGGTGTGCAGCAAAGGAGGAGTATGAATGTAACAAACATGGACAGACATTCTATGCTATCCTATTAGGCATGTAAAGAAGGAATGAAACAATAGGTGTTCTGGATTTTAAAAGGATGTATATTTTATTGATCTCATTTCAACTTTATTTTAAGTAGTCACACCTCTAGACACCCCTGCCCTCCTCTCAACAAAAAAAGAAACTATCAAATTCAGTCCCTAATGCTGTATTAGAGCCAGGGAAACCTTGTAAGCCAGAATGTACTTTCTCTGCTACAAAGAAACTAGAATATTTGTTTTAAAAACTTACAGACTTTAAAGTACAAGGTGACAATCTTGTTACCAGGATCATAGGTGCAACCATTACACAGAAATGAGGATTTAAAAAAGTCTATTCTTTCATCAGCATAGAGAAAGTAGGCATGCAAGAAAGCTCTTCTTGGACACTAATGTGGAGAAATACATCTTGGTCTTCAACATACTCTTTAAAATACTTAAGCCGTTCATAAAGCATGAAGCCCCTTTTCAAGATGATGCCCACAATTAAATCAATCTCCCACCCAAGTGATGCCTGACAGGAAATTATCTGTACACCAAAAGGCAAAAGCTCAGGGTGTCTGTATTTCTCACCATGATCTACAGAGATCTGAAGAAGCTCAATACTAAATATTTAGCACATGTGTATGTTAATGAATTCTAATCACCCCTGCTAGCCAGGGTAATCATGGCTCCATTCGACAGAGAGGCTGAGCAGCGTTAAACACGGTCTGTGCCTATCCTTGTGCTTCCCCTTCCTGGGTCACAATCCCGTATCGCTCTTGCGGTGTGCTCTGAGTAACTATGGGGGCACCAAAGGTGCTGGGGGCAGTACTAGGCTCTGCTCAGGGCCAGCCCGGACACCCCGCTGGCTCCGGGGGCCGTTCGGCGCCCTTGTCGCGGGGCTCACCATGACGAAGCAGGCTGATGCGAGAGGCCGAGACACGACGGACCCACAATGCCACTCTCCCCGCCGCAGCCCCGCGCCGTGCTTCCCGGCACGTACCGTGCCGCAAGGAGGAGTCAAGGGCAGGCGGGCAGCCCGCCGAGCCAGGGGGCTCTGCTGGAGCCGTGCCCGAAGAGCACCACCAGCTCTGGGGGGAGACTGCCCCGTCCCCTCCGCGCTGCACTCCCCAGGCGGGCGGGCCGCGGGGACCTAGGCCATTGGGGCCAACTGGTGCGGAGACAGCGCCCCGAGGCGGCTTCCGCTCCCTTGCGGCCCTACTCGGGCAGGTGGCAGGGCCCGGAAACGGCTTCCGCCAAGCCTCCCCGCGGCCCTGAGCGAGCGGGCCCCTGGCGGCGCTGCGCTGCGCGGCCCGGGCCGGGCCCCGCCGCCTACAGCTCTGGGAGCGGGGGCTGGGAAGGACCCTGCAGCAGCCCCGGCCCCGCTGCCCGGGGAGGGGACCGGTCCGGCGGCGCCCCAGCCGCCCCCCGGGGGCCGGGGTCGTGCCGCTGAGTGGGCCCACCTGAATTTCTGGAAGCGGTCCTTGTCGGCCTCGAAGAGTTGCCTCAGGACGAGCTTGGTGGCGTTCGCCTTGTACCACTCGGCGAGCTTCCTGAAGGCGGGGTCGCTGGAGAGGTCCATGCTGCTAGCGGGCGGCGATGCGGCGGGCAGAGCGGGCGCTGGTGGGGACCGGCGGTTTATAACGGCAGACCCGCCCCTCCAGTGCTGGCCCCGCCCCGGCCCGGCCCCCACAGGCCGGCCTCTTAGCGCGCCGGGTCTGGGCTCCGCTTACAGGCGGCTCAGCCCCCGTGGCCGTGATTGGCCTGTGGACGGGGGTCCGCCCGGGCAGGGGCTGGAGCCGTCACAGCGCTCCCTTGGGCGGCGGGCTAACGCCTTTCCCGTTCGCAGCCGCCCCGGCACATCCCTGCAGGTGCGATCCGGGATCCCGCGCACCCAAAGGTTACCGTGAGCGCCTTGCGTGCCCTGCGGACTGTGTGAGCTTCAGCCTGTCACCGAGCCCGCAAGGCGCCGCCTCTCCCTGCTTCTCTCTCTCTCTGGCGCGGCTTCTGCCTTGGATCGAAGTAGACTTAGCTCTGCGGGGACGAGACTAGAGGCGAGGTGTTTGTTCAGAACCTGGCCCAGGTGGGACCTCCCTTCGGACTGGGATCTTTAGATCAGAGGCGGATTTACCGTGAAACAGTGCGGTGGCACGGCGCCCCCAATGACAGCCCACCCCCACCCCCAAAATGCAGGACAAATCTCATCTGACAACCTACCCCTGAGTCCCAGCCGGCGATGCGGCAGAGCTCAGGCAGGCAAGCTGCCTGCCTGCATTCTGTGGCTGGCTGCTGGCACGTCTCTGTGTGCCCCCTGCGGGGTGGAGGTGGCTCTACCTGCTTCCCCCGCCCCATGCAGTGCATGGAGACCCACTGTCCCCATCCCCCCTGAGGGGGTGCACAGAGACATGCCAGCAGCAGGGCTAAGGTGGCTCCCTGCCCGCGCTGCCTCCTTCCACCCGTGCCGTGCCACACCGCTCCCGGAAGCAGCTGGCATGTCCCTGGGCCTGGTGTGTCCCTGGGGCTGGCATGTCCCTGGGGCTGGTGTGTCTCTGTGCATTGCCCCCAACCTGAGCGCCAACTCCGTAGCTCCCATTGGCTGGGAACTGCGGCCAATGGGAGCTGCGGAAGTGGCACGCAGAGACCCCTGCCTAGAAGCTGCTGCCAGAAGGGTATGCCGGTCGCTTTGGGAGCTGCATCGCCCAAGGTAAGCCTTGCCCCCCTGTTTTAATACCATGTGCTGCAAAGAGCCACAGGAGGCACATTAAAGAACCACTTGCAGCTTCGCAGCCTCAGTCTGAGTATCACTGCTCTACTGGAATCACACATCACAGAATATTAAAATACATCACATTTTCCTGAGTGACAATGAGTACGGCACTTTATGTATTTATCCATTGTTATTTAATTATACCATATATTCCTGAGTCATGCTGAGCACACCACTTTATTCACTGTAAAATGTTAACATTTAAATTAGAGGTAAAATACCAATCAAAGGGAGCATGCATGTAGATTACTTTTTCAGGCTTTTGCAAAACCTATGTCAACTTAGCAATTAGCCTTATTTGTTTTAAATTCAGTACCACCCTCCACAGCACAAACCCAACACTAATAAAGGTGCCCTGTGATAGTTATCTTTAATGTGTGAATTGTCACAGGAACAAATGGCTAATGAATTTTGGCCACAGGGGAACAAACCCCTCAGAACCCACAAGCATGTGCCAGTGTTCCTTCATGTACATTTCCAGCAGCTGTACAGGTTACGAAGGTGTCCCTCAGCACAGGCAGATGTCATTGTGAGGTATTTAGCACTATGATCTACCCATGCATCGTCGCCAGAAGAAAAATTCCAGAAATAATAGCTGGATTTGACAGGATGGGCTTTCCCAACTGTTCAGGGGCTATCAGTGGCACCCATATCCCAGTACTTTGCTCACCAAAAGGGGCAAGTAAGTATGTGAAACAAAAAGGTTACTGTTCTCTTGTTCTGCAAAGCTTAGTGGACCACAGAGGCAGATTGATTAATAAAAACGTAGGAAACAATGAAAGGTTCATGACACCAGGATGCTAAGGAGACCAGTTTGTATTTGAGGGGGGAAAAGGGACTTTGTTCCCCAGAAATGATGATGTTCTGTGTGGAGTGTCTGTGCCAACCCCACATACCTGTTCTAACTTGGCTCATATAACTTTATCCCAACATCAATGACCGAGCTCAATAGCCATTCATTTTTGTGACAGTTTGTACATTAAAGACCATTATAACAGAGCAACTCCACTAGATTTGTGCTGTGGAGGTTGGCAGCCATGCTGAAATCCGGTTATTGTGCAATGCTTTTGTCTTCACTATTCACACTTGTTTACAAACCTCTGTTGTCAGGATCACTCAGTCTCTTCATTATCTTATCAACTTTCGCTTTGGAGAAGGGTGTATCCATTCTTTTTTTCAACCCTTCCTTGTCAGCTGGGGTGGCAGTAGGGGAGTTTGTGGGGGCTATAGCCACTCCAAAATTTGCCTTAGGCCTCTCCTCCAGCCACCCCTTCCAGCTGCTGGCTGCAGCAGCTCCACCTTCAGAGCTGGGTGCCCGGCTAGCAGCCACCACTCTCCGGCCACCCAGCTCTGAAGGCACAGCTTCCGTTGGCTCCCCCCAGCAGACATACTCACTTCTTCCCCCATTCGCTTGCTCTCACTTCCCCCTACCACTCCCCATTGCCTGAAAACAACATCAGCCTGGGGAAGCAGATTGGCACCTGAAGACACCTCCCACACACACACACACACACACACCTGATCTACAGAGAGGAGGCTTTAGCCACGTGCCTAGACTGGAGGAAAATTGTCTTTTTCTTCCATTCAGTTCCTTTATGCTCAGAGATTTGCTGAGCTCAGATATGCCCTGACAGATTTGCTGCACTGGCTGTGGTCCAGAGATTTGCACAGTCAGCTCCCCTCCTGATGTTAGCCTTGGCCCAAGGTGTGACACCGGCTCCTCAGCAGCAGGCACGACAGAGACTGTGAGCCCCCTGTTTACACTTAAGTCTCCCCTTCTTTAGGAAGTTGATCCATGGGTGGCAGGGCGCTGGGGAAACTCGCCCGATGCTCTGTGTCTGACTGAGTGTGTCTCTGCTGAGCTGGGGTGGGGTGAGAGCCTGTCTGTGCTGATGCCTCTGGATCAGGAATGGGAGTTGCTACAGCTGCTGTACTGCACAAGCATTCAGGCTCCTGAGTGCTTGGCTTAAAGAGACAGCCCACTGACACATTCACTCAGGCACACACACAGTCTCCCACACACTCCCTCAACACACACAGTCTCCCACACATATTTTCCCCAACACACACACACTCTCTCACACAATCTCCCTCACACACTCCCCCAACACAGTCACTCCCCCCACACACACAGTCTCCCACGCACACACATACTCTCTCACACACACAAATAGTAAAACTATAATGTGGTACAAAACTCAGGGGGGTGCCCTCCACCTCCCTAAATGGTGCCCCTGAGGCAGGGACAGGGTGGTTGCTGTCTGGTGGTGAGGCTTTGCAGCACATTGTCCAGCCACAGCCAGCTCTGGGGAGCAATCTCAGGTCTGCATACCCACCCCAATTTTCTGTCTAGCCCACCTCAGGCCCGCACCAGGAAGAGGCTGTCAGCAGCACTAACTGCACTTAGTGGCTGTTTAAAACTGGACAGGGTTTCAGGGAGGGGGGAAAGGAGAGCCTATTTAATCACAGGGTAGTGGCAGATACTGTCTTTGCCTGTATTATTACTGGAACTGTGTTTTGATTTTCTACATGTGAACTAAGCCATAAAGACGTTTATCTACCCATTTTTTGTGTTGTAGAGTTCTGCTGTGTTGATAACTAGTAGTGCTTTCTATAAGCACGTAACACTAACTGTGCTTTCCCCATCATCTCTCCCATGTATGGTTGGGACTTCAGATATTTCTGAACCTGGGAAGGGCTGTGGCTGTGGGACAGACAGAAAAGTATTTGCTGTATGAAGGCACCTGACAGTTACACCATTCCATTTCATATGCTGTGAATTGTGGGGCCCAACCCCAAACCTGAAAACATCTTCCGTTCATCATAATTAGGAAGGAGCATCCACACATAAGTCAAAGAAACTATAAAATTTATTAGAAGTATTATATGGAACTTGTAATTAAAATATTTTAAAAAAGAAATGTCACCCAACAATATTTAAAATATAATGGTACTGAATCCATGAACAATGACTAAATGTTACAGTCTGCTGCACCCATCTTTTTTTCCCTCTCACTGAGAAGGGGCAATAACTGGGGAAATTGTTCTTGGGGACAACTAGGGACATCTCCTGCATGGGACTTATGAGGATTGTGGGGTTCAGGACCCTCCACAGGCTCAACATTCCCCTCTTGGAGACTCAGGGGTTCCCCATGCAAAGGATTTCAGGTGCCAGTGGAGGGTGTGGTCCCAAGCATGCTGCAGACTCCGTGTTCTCTTCTTGGTCACTCAGAAGATATAAGCAAGGAGAGAAGCCATCTTTATGATCTACCACTAGACACAAGGGAAAAGAGCTCTTGCAAGGTGAGAAAGATGGGTCCTTCAACCAAAGGGGAGTTGAAGTCTCTGGGAACTGAATATAGGTGAGAAACCTACTTAGGCAAAGATTGTACCTTGCTAAATTAAGCTTTATACTTTTAGATGCATGTTTTCACTTTTGTTTTACTTGTAACCCTTTTTAATTTTATTCCTGTTACTTGGCATCACTTAACCTAAGTTGTGGTGTTAATAAATTTGTTTTATTTTTACTATAAACCAACTCAGTGCTGTGTTTAAATGGAAGGCTGTATTTATCCCAGTTAAGTTAATAAGTTATAATGTGTTTGGGGCCTTTAGAGGAACAAATTAACCTTATTATTTCTCTGAACTATCCAAGCTGAACATTGCAGAGCACATGGTTTCAGGAAAATTTGAAACTGGGAGTGTGTTGGGGTCACGTTGCTGGTTGTAACCAAGGCTGGTGGAAGTCAGAGTGGGGTTATGGGGCTGTAGGCAGGCTTCTGGGGTCAGAGCTGCTGAACCAGAGCTGTCTAGTGCATATGCTTGTTGGCTGTCGTGAGCATCCCAGATTGGGAGCTACAGCAGAAAAGCATTGTGAGGCA